TGAAACAAATAATTAAATAATAAATAATAGATAATAATTATTTAGACGCGAAGACGGTCGTATTTCTCCAGAAATGCTAGCGCGGCCTCGTCTTCATCAGTGGGCATTGGTGTTGTTCTCAGTCAGGAGGGTCGTCATGTCTCTTTTTTCAGTGAGAAGCTTTCTGGCCCTCGTACTCGCTACAACACTTATGATGTGGAGTTCTATGCCATTGTGCGGGATGCCCGTCATCGGCGACATTATTTGTTTCACCGGGATTTTATTCTTTACACGGACCACGAGGCCTTATGACATTTGGCCTCTCAGGATAATATTTCGGCTCGTCATGCCTCTTGGACTGCTTTTCTTCAACACTTTACGTTTGTTCTTAGGCATCGTTCTGGAGTTTCGAACCGGGTGGCGGATGCTTTGAGCCGCCGAGTGCTATTATTGACCGACATGCGGGTGTCTGTCATGGGGTTTTGATGTATTGCGCGAGTTGTATGCTGATGATGGGTTCTTTGGCCAATTATGCGACGCATGGCGGCGGGCTCGATGGACGACTACTCTTTGACTGACAGATTCCTGTTTCGAGGAGTTCGTCTTTGTATTCTTGACTGCAGCCTTCGACTGAAGCTCATTGCTGAGCTGCATGGTGCGGGGCACGTTGGGCGAGATCGTTCAGTTAATCTGGTTGGGTGATCCTATTTTTGGCCGTCTCTTCAGCGGGATGTGGGCCGCTTTGTGGAGCGGTGTCGTATTTGTCATGTCTCTAAAGGGGTCGTCGCGTCCAACACGAGTTTATGTAGGCCCCTTCCCATTCCATCACAGCCGTGGAGTGTAGTTAATATGGACTTCATGCTGGGTTTGCCGCGTACTCAGCGTGGTTCCGACTCCATTTTTTGTCGTTGTCGACAAGTTTTTAAAGATGGTGCATTTCATTCCATGCAAGAGGCCAACAGATGCGGTACATGTGGCTCAGTTGTTCTTTCGGGAGGTGTACCGTCTCCATGGCCTTCCGTCCTCGATCGTCTCAGATCGCGACACGCGATTTCTCAGTCACTTCTGGTGTAGCTTATGGCGCATGGCGAACACGCGCTTGGATTCCAGTAATGCATACCATCCTCATACGGACGGCCAGACGGAGGTCGTGAATCGGTCTTTGGGCAACCTACTGCGTTGCTTGGTCGGGTGATAATATTTGCAGTTGGGACCAGTGGTTGAGCCAGACAGAGTTTGCTCATAATTCGGCTGTCAGTCGGGCCACGGGCTTATCACCGTTCGAGGTGGTTTATGCGGTGGGCCCGCGGGGACCGTTCGACTTGGTGAGCTTGCCGCCAGGAGTTGTGGCCGATAGGCGGGCCGCGGACCTTCTGGCTGATTTGAAGGCGACCCACGAGGCGGCCCGGGCTCGATTGGAGGCCACGACCGCGACGTACAAGAGAAGGGCTGATTTGCGACGTCGCCATGTGGAGTTCTCGGTCGGTGACTACGTTTGGGTCGTATTGACGAAGGATAGGTTCACAACCCACGAGTATAATAAACTCTCAGCCCGGAAGATTGGCCCGGTCGAGTTAATTGAAAAGATAAATCCTAATGTTTACCGTCTCCGTCTTCCTTCTCATGTTCGTACGTCTGACGTTTTTAACGTCAAACACTTGGTGCCATTTGTGGAAGACAACTCGGAAGAAGACGAGACCGGTTCAAATTCGAGGCTGAATTCTGCTCAACTGGGGGAGGATGATGAAGACGAGACTGCTATTGCGTATTTGAATAAATATGACCGTCTCCGGGTATAGTCAGTTTTATTTTATCATTATTATTCGAACTCTTTTATTTTTGTTCCTTTAGTTAATTAGTACTTTGGGTAGGAAAATAATTATCTTGCGTAGTGGGGCAAGATTAGGAATATTTATTTCTCTTTGTTATTTATATGTTATTGGGATGATGAAAAAGATGAGGTTTTTTTATATAATTGAAATAAAAATCTGTGTGTTCCTTTGAAACAATATCTCATCTTCTTCCTTAATTGTACTAAAAATATGAATTCTTTTAATTGTTCATTCCATGTTGAATATATAGTTTTTCGAACACCCTTATAACTAGTTTTATTTCAACTGAAATTTTTTATATTACCCTTTGTCCATATGTCATTCAAGATATATTTTGTTTAAAAAAAAAATGATAATTCCAAATACAAAGTATTGTAACAATTAGCTAGGCTTTTAATTTAGGTATTATTATCACACAAATATTGCAACAAAATAGCGTGGGTTTTTAATAGGACAAGGGCAACTTTGGAATAAGGGTTACTTTTCAGTTTTCATTAATAAGAGAGAGATAAGCGTCTGTCATTTACAAAGAGACGACGATTGAGTTTCTCTGAGAGAAAAAAATTGAGACAGAAAAAGTGAGACAATTGAGTTTCTCTGAGAAGAAAAAAAATTGAGACGGAGTTTCCCTGAGAAAATTGAGACGACTCAATGCCGCGTGCTCTTTTCCAGGTCTTTAGTTGGCGTGATGTTGTTTACCTTTTCTGGGTGGCCGTCTGCGCCCAATCGGCAGCCATCTGCACTTTGTACTTGCCGTGGAAGGGCGAAGAGACGGCCCATGTCGTCGCTGTGTTCGTCTTTGCCGTGGTCTTGTGCGTTGCCTACCTCGCCTGGTGGGTCAGAGATCGTGATTTCGGCCTGAGACGTCGAGGATGGAAGGCCAACGCCGTTGGGGTACTGGTGGCGACCGGAATCAATACCGTACTGGCGGCCATCCCCGACCAGTCCGACCAGCGCATCGTCTGGCAGGCCGCCGCGGCCTTCTCTGTGGTGATTTTTCTGGAGCTGCTTATGCCCGACACCGATTTCGGGATCTCACTGGGATTTATCCTCATGGCTTTCCAGACATCCGTTGTATTCTACGGCTTCAATTTCTCCATGTGGTATGTCGTCACGGCTATTCTACTCGTGGTTGTTATTTGTCGCCAGAGTTGGCTCTCTTACGCACGGCCACCAGATCGCCTCCACTTCTCCTTGTGGTATGCGGTTGCGGCGGTTCTCCTTGCGGCGGTAGTCACTGTGATGGGCCTGATGGCGGTGGTGCCGTCCTCCATTCGCCGGCCAGATTCTGGGCCCTTGGGCTTCCAGGCCGCCACTACATGATCATCGATTGATGATTTTGGTATGAATTAGGAGGGGATTATTAGTATTAGTATTATTAATTAAATAGTGGCTAATTAATTAAGTCGTAATAGTTAGTGTTGTCGCCGGCTTTTGTAGTTATCCCGGTTCTTATTTTTCTCTATTCTAAGCATGACTGTAAGGCTCCTTGCTTGATGATTTGATTTTTCTGATTATCCCACGTAATCCAGTGTTTATTGTCCTTGAGGCACGTTTACTACAAGGGATTGGGCATGACAATTTTAATACGCTATTTATATGTGGTTGTACTGTTTTCATTGAATCTTTATGCTGTTTGTAAGGTGCTTTACATACCAACGCTGTACAATTAAATCTTTGGTATAAATTTACGTAACAAATATAAAAAAAAATTCCAATATTGCAATTTTGGTTATACAACAAAATGTTATGTGAATAAAATCACAACATACATTGAAAATATATTAACTACAAACACAACAATTATTGAACTATTTTGATGCTGGTCTTGTGCAAGATTATTATATTTTCAATGTATGTTGTGATTTTATTCACATAACATTTTGTTGTATAACCAAAATTGCAATATTGGAATATTATTAAGTCTAAGCCTTTTTTTTTTTAATAACTGTCGATCTAGTTAATTTTATCATTTTTTTTTTTGTTCGAGCTGGGTCGTCGCTTCAACGACATCTTCGTCAATTTCCATATCGTTCATGTCAAATTATTCTTCTTCTTCAACAAAATCAGAATCTTGCTCGGGTTTTTCTTTTTGTGCACGTGGTTTGGACTTTTCGTCCGCCGTGTTCGTTTCTTTGTCGGGGTATCATCAACATTGTCGGAAGGGGTTGCACCGACCGTAACTTTGCCACCTTTATTGCGGGGTTTTTTGAACCACTGACATTTGATTTGTTATGGAATTGAAACTTCTTCTGCACTAGTTTCCAGTTAAACATTAGGATTAGGTTTAGTCTGATGAAGACGAGAACTAAATCTTAGTTGTGGACCGTCTCGTGGGGCTGCTTCCGATGTTGGAGGGGGACGGGGTCGATTTTCACCATTTTGCGAAATTGATAAAATAAAAAGTTTGAGATTAGGAATAATGACGTCGAGAAAGGATGGAGAAGTATGGATAAATTACAAATGGTAGTATCTCATTGGGTCGTTAGATACCAAGTAAAAATATATTAGAATATAGTATATATATGCAAATATTTCCTAAGTTTCTATGAATTTGCAATTAAAAATTATAATATATGTAATATTTTATGTTTAAGTTAATTCAAAGATTTTTTTTT